CCTCTCTAGATTCTAGATAGTGAAGAAACCGCGGGTTCTCTTCCCCAAGAGATTCTTCGGTGAATGTTTGGCCCAGGATGACTTCGGCTTGAAGCACGCCCATAGCCTTCGCCAATGTGAGGAGGGTCATAACTCCGCTGAGCTGCAGCTGGGCGTTTGCAGCCCGCAGGGATGGAGATGTGTCTAGTTGAACAGGTGCCAGAAGAACGGCAGCAACAAGAACATACAAGGACGACGGCAAGGAGTAGGCTGGGAGTCTTTTTCTGTCCCCTTTCCACGAGGGTCACGAGTCGCTATACTCACTACTCAGCAACGCTCCGCACAGCGTTGGGCTCCGGAAATCACAGAAAAACTGCCTTGAGAACGTCGGGCTTCAAAGGACGTACTTGATGGAGCCGGATGTAGGTGGATGTAGGTGGTGTCAAGGGCTGCAGGCCAAGGTTGTGTGGATCGGGTGGTTGATACTACCCATCTCAGCCATCTCCCAATTCCTCGGGCGGCTGGCAAACCCAGATGGCTGGCAGAAGGGGGTTGCTTGTGGCCATGGCGGCGCCGGTGTTTCGTGGGCATTTCTCAGTCTGAGACGTTGAAGAAACACCGAACTGGGTGGGCATGGGTCATGCCATGCCGAACTTGGAACATGACGATCTTGTTAAAACAATGTTGAAGATACCTGGACCATCCAAGGGGTGCCCAATGGAAGCCCATAGGTAGTGTGGGTAGCCCATTGGACACCCCAAGGGGCTTCTATTGATAGCCCCTTAGATGTGAACGGGTGTCCATTCACCACCCCTTGTGGGGTCTTGGAACATACTTAAAAGGCAGATGATTTGCTTGTTCAGGGTATTGGATCTCAAAATCGTTTCATCTAGTCTATACCGCACATTGTAAAATAACGAAGCTTTATTCCAAAGGACAATAATCTATACTGTAATCGACGGTTTTTTCCTTCATGACTTGACTGAGGCAAGCGATGATTGAGCAGCGTGACAGTCTGAACGCCAGCATTGAAGAGCATATGCGGCGGCAGAATCTAGAGCTTCCCCTCGTGGCTGAGTTGCACAGCACAGTGAAGTCATAGAACCGCCCCCCCCGAATCAGTGCCCTGCTTGCCCTGATTCGAGCATTTTTGCCACAAGCAACAACGCGAAGTGAAGTGCCGCGCGATCGATTGCGTAGTATAAGCAGTCTTGGAGGGGAGGCCAACTACTTTTCACTGGACAGGTGTCCAAATAAGAGGATCCAACGTGTCCAACACGCTTGGACGGTCGCGAAGATCTTTGGACCAGGTCTATCCCCAAGGTCCATGTCCAATGCATTCACCCCGACACATCCCAAGGAAGCCAAGGGGGGCCGGGCTCCGTTGGAGCCCTTCAGGTCGCATCGCCGGCATCGCCCCTTCGTTCGGAGAGCTTCGGAGAAGCGGGCCCCTCTGAGGTCACGGACCCCACGTCCAAGGTGGCCTTGGCCTTTCTGGTGCCTGAGGTGGAAAGTGCCTGGGGCGAGAACGAACGTTGGCCCCAAACACTTGGGTGGCACCATCGAGATCCGGATCCCTACCTAATATACGGCATATTTCAACATCTATATAATATAATATATATTTGATATATACTATATTAGCCTCTCTACCGAATTCTTCACTCGTCAGACAGAATTCGACGGAATTTCAGAGAGTCAAACGCGACCCGCCGATCCAGCTACTGAATGGGCGATGGGTATACCAAGGAGTTTTGCACCACAAAACCATGTCGTTCCATATGTTTTGATGTTCTTGGAATGTTAGGAAATTTATTGCAGGCCCAGATTTTGGGCCTCAGGAGGTTTGCAAGCTCCAATTGCTGAGGGTCTAGGGCAGTCGACCTATAGACATAGGTCAAACGAAATGTCCTGGCACACATTGGGAGTAGCCAGGCTTTATCGGGTGCTGCCGGGTTTGGTTCTTTGGTTGTTGCATCTGGCACTATAGACCTCCAAATATAGGTAGAAAAGTAAAACCCCTTTTCAAAAGATATTGGAAACCGTGCAACTATCTACAGTATTTGGGGACCACTATCTTAATATGATGTTCTTCCCTTCTTGAGAGTTTTGGGGGACCGTGCCTCTTATGCCTACGCCCCTCTCTCCCTGAGGCCAATGGCGCAACGAAGGTTGCCAAGATCAGATCGTCGTAGGCTCTTTGTGGCCCGGCTGCCCATAATGTGGTCAGGTGTCTTTGCATGGTCCAACTCAGCTCGGAGTTCCAACTGCCCCGTTCGGGCACGTTTTTCAACTCGGACGTTTTTTGGCGCAGGAAATCAGGGTTTTTGATAGACAGACCACTGGGCACAATCCTCAAATGGTATTTGGAGCATGGACAGGTTCAAGCAATTCTATGTAATGCTGTATACAGCGCCATTATAGGTTCTTATAAGTGACAAATCAAGTATGCCCACATTTGCGGCACCCGTCCACTCGATGGTCACAATTCCCTAATCTGTTCAGGGGCACCTTTTTGTTTGGCCGCAGTCACTAGCCAACCCATCCGTTCTAGCTCACAGAGCCGGAACACTGCTCCAAACCGAAACCATAGCCTAATTGTCGCCTTCTTCACGCCATCCTATCCTAATTGTCGCCCAACCCGGCCGAGATTCCTGGCGCTCTGCGAGCTCTTGTTGCGGATCTCCTCCTTGTGGAAGGATCTGCGCCACGGCTGTGGGCTCAAAGGTCTCATGGCCTCCATGGCGCTCAAAGCCGGAGTCATCTACAACGGCTGCAGCTCGGAGTAAAGCGTCGGCCGGTCCGGTCCGGGGCCCGGTGGGGCGGGCCCGGCGAATGACTGGGGCCACTGGGTAGAGCTGGTTGATGGGGAGTATTGCAGGGATTGTCACATGGTTGTGATCATCAGCCAAGTTCCAAGGCCGTGAAAAAGACCGCCTGGGACTGGGAGGTTCCGATCATTGATGGACGAACGGCCTGGAAAGCCATCGGTTGGTCGAGGTGGACTATTTGTGTCATATAGTTATTGCTTCCCTCAGAGTCTGTTGTCAGGATCCACGCGTGTTTTGGGAGAGAGAGATTCTTTCGGTTTGACAGAGCATGATATGAAGGGAACACATGATGAACGGTCCCCCCTATTGGCGCTATTGGTTTTGGCCCGCCTCGGGCCTCGGGGCCTGCAATAGAAAAGATGCCTTTCATATAATAAAGCCTACCTGGACCATCCAAGGGGTGCCCAATGGAAGCCTATAGGTAGTGTGGGGTAGCCCATTGGACACCCCTTGAATGGTCCTGGTAGCTAGCACAAGTTTGTGAAATTTGTGGACACTACCCCCACTACCCGACCCTCATCAGTTAGTTTGGTCCACCTTTCTTCGAGCTTGTTTAATTACGACTTGGCGTTGGGAGAGACTGGATCCAGATTTATTTTACGCCGGCTGTCCTGGTTTATCCACTGCACAGGCTTTATACCCCCTACTGGCATGTGATGGCATGTGTATTCTAGTCCTCTATGCGGAAAGCATTCCCCAAAGTGATACAAGTCCCACATCTCCCCAAATAAGGAGACTTCGAATCCAGTTGATGGTTCTTTTTCCAGGGGGTGGAACTGGGGGGCTTATCTATATATATTATCTATATATATATATAATACACCCAATCGTAGATGAATGTGTATTGCTCCGAACATCTCGGGGTGTGGAGTGAAGCGGCTCGGATGACCGTGGCGTGCAAAGGGCAGACCGTGCGGCTGGTCCACTCTTCCCTCACTGAAAGAACCAAACACCCAATTGGAACTACCATTCCGGATCATGGCAAATGCTGCCACTTTCTTCACCTGTCCCTTTAAAAATCGATGGACTGTTTGTATACTTCCAGCTCGAATTCTGGGCATTCCTGGTCACACGAAAGAGAGGAAGTCCGGTCCGGCCGGTTCGGCGTGCGTGCCGTTTTGAGGTGCCTTTGTCATTTTGGTGCCTTTTGCCCTGTGGAGACTTGGAAGTGTAACTCCCTCGATCCGAGAAGATCGCTTCCTCTCCCTCTCCTGTCCTGTTAGCCTCCGAGTCTAGAGGCCGACGTGGCCGGCGGCGGCGTTGGGCGTTGCTGGCGTTGGGATGTCCAACGCTGAATTCGGACACGGGGTGTCCATGGGTGTCCTGAATTCGGAGGAAAGAAAGCAGCATCAGCACATTCAAGGTGATTCAGGAGAATCAGAACCTGGCTCCATATGTTCGGTATTGCCAGGGCGCGGCCGCAACATGGTAGAACACATGATTTCGCCTTCAATCCGACCACACTTGGCACTTGAGTTTGCTGTGAGTTTGGGACTGGGCAGTGCTTAGGGTTGAATATATAGGCCCAGGTCTCTTTGTAAGTTCATCAAGGCCTTGGCCGACCCCAAAGAACTTGGAATCCCGAAGAAGCTCCTTCTTGGGTAAAAGGTTGTAAAAGGTAAGGTGATTTGGGGAACTCGCCCCCACAATTTGGGCAGATTTAGCTGGGTGTGGGAATAGCCAAAAAAATGCCGAAGATAGGTTCAGGTCCAGATCGCGTTTTGGCAGTCTTATCGATCACATCGCAGAACTATGTTGGGATGAGCAGCTGGAGTTCTTCAGATTTCAACCTCTCTATAGATTGTGAAGTACGTGAGTGGGACTCTGGAGACGTAGTAGCCCAATCTGACCAGTCTCCCAGATCTGACCGTTGATGACCAAACGCGACCCACCGGTTTTTGTCCAGGATCCGCCAAAACGACGAACACAGTCAGCACATGGAAACCAGTGTTCATGGCATTGTGCAGGAAAGGAAGGGGAAGGTTTCCGAGTACCAAACAGGTGGGCTTTCCATTTTCATGTGATGTCTTCGTCAGAGTATGCCTCCTGAAGTTTCCAGCCTAACCACCGGGCTTTCTCTCCGCTGACCGGGTCAGTCTAGGATGATTGGTTGAGTTTTGTATTGTTTGTCGGATGCTGTAAGGCAAAGCCAAGCAAACGACCTGTACATAATTGGCATCTTGTGGTACCATTTTTTGTAATATGTGCGCGGTGTTCTCCACGCGCAGTGTTTCTGATCCTTGCGCAATCAGGAATACCAGATTGAAGAGCAGGAGGCTGCTGTTGGCCCTGACCATCTTTGCTTATCTAGATCCTTGTCCAAGAGGCACAGTTTGCAACAAAAGGCATTCCTTCTTCTTTCATCTCTGCCTGTCGTTCGAACAGTGTACCAGGGACCGGACCTCTCAGCACCTCTTACCAGCAGAGGTTGAAGAACCCTACTTCGACTATCCTATAAGTACCCCTACCTAACGGGTCCTAGTATAGGGTCACTTAACCATACTTAACCTTTGCAGCAGGTAAACAAACACACCAACTTGCTACCATGGTCTCCGGTCTTCGACCGTGTCCGCTGTGCTTCTCCTTCTCGGACCGGACCGGTCTGGCTCGGAGCATCCAACGGAGACAACGGAGCCGGGCGGAAGACGTCGTACCGAACCGGTTGGGTACGACAATGGCACCCACCCAGTCCCAGCTTCTTAGAAGGTACGACTGGAGCTCTAGGGGAGGAGTAGTCAGGCTGAGTCAGGAGGCGTCCATGGGTACAATCATTGGAGGATTTGCGCTGTTGTGCAAATCCTCCGGGCCTTGCGGTTCTGCAGCCAAGCAAGCCACATGCCACTCTACGGCCATGTATGAATGATTCATAAATAGCACTAATAGAATGCAATAGATATTATATAGTACATTATAGTACTGTAATTGTACTGTATTAACAGCATACTTGCATAAAACGTACTTTCAAACCATGTCATTACACCTGCATCCTCCTCTCCACCTTGGCATACCTTGGCCGTCCGCCTTCGCCTCCTCCGGTTGATGGACCAGGCCTCCAGGCCTCCAGGACCATCCCCTTACTTCACCTTTGTTCGGAGCTAAGAATGGGACACCCCGGCCAGGGCCAGGGGCGCTGGTATATACTTGGATGGGTCCCAGGTGCTTTGTGTTTCTGGTGTCTACGATCCTCTCAGGATCGGATTCTGGCTTCCATGCCACTGCTGCACTATGCCTGTGGCCGCGGCCGTGACACGAGTCCTCAGTGCGAGACCTTCCCAAGCAAGAAGGACTGCCAGATGATGGACACTTGATCCAATGGAGTCACGAAGGCCGAAGGACATCAACCGAAGATCACATGCAAGAGAAAGATGATCCCAGACACTCCCTGCATTGACACCTGAAACCATGTCAAGTCCATAGTTATATAGATGGAGTGTTTGAGGATTGAATGAATCATTTCGGGCAAAGGCAAGATTTTGAGACAACTGTTGTTGAACATGTCCTCCGGAAACAGCGCAATATGAAAGAATGATCACCCCCCCTGTGGTACAGCTTCCTTCTGCAGGAGATAGACATATTGCGCTCAGATGCGGTTAGATCAAATCACAGAAAGTCAGCTTTCGATTCCCATGTAATGTAGACTCTTGATTGATTAGGAATTTGTGTGTCTGTGTGAACCAGGTGGTCCAGGATGTGCTTGCCCCAGCTAAGGAATACCATCGTTTCCACGTGCAAATGCTAAGCGTGATGGCACAGGTCTTGGTCTTGCCAGAGTACCGAAGCTTGGTTTTGAGTCACCTTCCACAAAAAAAGACAACAACAATCAATTTGACCTGGGTTCCCAACCAACACCTTTGGTTTAAAGCAAAGAGTAGTTTGCCTTTGAGGTTTGCTTTGCTTTACCTTTGGTGCCTGCCATATGGCAAACATATCGGCTGTATCGGAACAAATATAATCAAAAAGATGGCATAGGCACAAGGACATCCTGTTCCCATTTGTTCCCTGTTTTGTTCAGCCAAGTAAATCTCCCGACTTGGCAGAAGCAGAGTGTCATCGTGCTGATCGCAGCTCAAACTTCAAGACCCAGTTCCCAAAACTTCCTGTGTGGAATATTATGGAATATATTGGGGACAGATGCGGTGGTTTCAGGGCTCGATGTACAAGATTCCGTGGAGCTTGGGCTATCCGCAAAGAATCCGTAGACTTGGTTCCCCAGTGTTCCCTGGCGAACCCGCGCTTTTCCCTGCAAAAAGGGCGCGGCCCGCCCTCCCCAAACCACGTCGTGAACGGTTTTCTTTTGTTTTTGTTCTGCTGTGTGTTCTCAATGAGAACTCCAGATTCCAGATCTTAAGCGCCAGTGGCGTGGACCGCGACGATCGAGGGCCACTCAGGGAAGAAGGGCGACCGGCCGATTCGATGAAAAGCTTCCCATTCAGAACGGCAGAAGGAGCGCCGGAACGTCAGCACGGTGAACACCATGAACTCAGCACGCCATCGAAACCTGGGCAGTTTCCAACCAAACTGGTCCAGATTCGATTCACAGCATGGTGGAATGATTGTTCTTCCCCATATGTTCCGGAACGTGATCAGGACCAGGTCAGCTGTTCCAGAGAGTGACTAACGCATGACAAGCCTCGACCAGCTAAGGATACTGTTCCTACATGTGGATTTGGATTTTCCTGGCCACCTTGGTGTCCAGCGTCTTCGTGGCCAATGAGGAAATCCGCTCGGTCCCTTGGGACGGTGCACGTTGCGGCTGCGCATCCGGATTCCGGATCCCTACCGACCCTACCGAGGTGAAGTGACCTGAACGTTCGGCGAACCCTACCAGACCCTAGGGATCCAGTCGTACCTTCTCAGAAGGTGATTGGAGACTATTTGTGTAGGCTTGGAGGGCCCAGTCGTACCTTCTGAGAAGGTATGTGGATCCCTAGGGAGAGGGTACCTCAGTGGGTACCCAACGAACTCGGAGCGTCGAACTGATCGGCTTCGGCGACCCACCGATGCGGATCCGCTTCGGACGGACCGTTTCTTTCGGTGGTCTTGACGGTGGGCTTGGCATGATGCTTCGTTTCCGGTCCAGTGGATCGATCATGGTGCGGTTGGTCCAGTATGAGGATGTAGGGACAAGCAGCAGAGGTGGGTCAGAACCCGACTGTTCGACCATCCTATAGGATCTATAGGTACCCCCTGGTTCTATTCGGGTCCGAACGTTCACTGGATACCTCTGTAGGACAAGCCCGGTGGTTGTGGGACACCCCGACATCACCTCTAGACGGGGCGCCCTGGTGGTTACCTCTAGACGGGGCGCCCCGGTGGTTCTTTGGGATCACGAATTCGGGTGACTGGTCGTAGTTGGGTTACCCCAATGAAGGATCTCTATCCGTTTTGTTGGATTTTCCTTGGATCTCGGTCGTTCTCGATGTCGTTCTCATCTCCTGCATTGGATCTCGGTCGTTCTCGATGTCGAACCATCTGCACAGGAGAAGGAGGATTTTCGTCCAGCGGAGAGCGTGGGCGCACGAGAGACAAACCGTGCCTGCTTGATCTAAGGTCTTGACCGGAACCAGAGACCGCGTGCTCCTCACAACTGAAGGCAAGCTGGATGTAGAGGATGCCAAGAACGAGTTCTTTGTGAGGCTGAAAGCTTTGGGACTGTTCTCAGCTTGGGAAGCTGGAAGTTCTTCTCGGCTGTGGGGGGGGGGTCAAAACCCAGGACCTTTGGTGGGGCTGGTCCATTCGG